CTAGGTTATATGGTAAGTCTATTTTCAGTGTTTTGAGGAATCTTCATACTGTTTTCCACAATGGCTGTACCAAAATGTATTCCCACCAGCAGTGCAGGAGGGTTCCCTCTTCTCCACACCCTCTCCAGCATTTATCATTTGTGGATTTTTGAATGATGGCCATTCTGACTGGCGTGAGGTGATACCTCATTGTAGTTTTGATTTGCATTTCTCTGATAATTAATGACATTGAGCATGTTTTCATGTGCCTATTGGTCATTTGTATGTCTTTCTTGGAGAATTGCTTGTTTAGGTCTTCTGCCCATTTTTGGATTGGGTTGTTTGCTTTTTTCTTATTAAGTCATATGAGCTGTTTATATATTCTGGAAATCAAGTCTTTGTCAGTTTCATCTTTTGCAAATAGTTTCTTCCATTCCATAGGCTGTCATTTTGTTTTGCTACAACTTCTTTATCCAATCATCTGTTGATGGACATTTAGGTTAGGTTGCTTGCGTATCTTGGCTATTGTAAAGTTTTCTCTGGATATATGCCCAGAGAGGGATTGCTGGATAATACAGCAACTCTATTTTTAGTTTTTTAAGGACCCTCCATACTGTTCTCCATCATGGCCGCACCAATTTACATTCCCATTAACAATGCAGGAGAGTTCATTTTTCTCCACACCCTTTCCAAGATTTATTACTTGTAGACCTTTTAATGCCTTAACTTTCAATTTAATTTTAAAATTTAAAGTCAGAGATTTTCAGATTGTAAAAAACAAAACTTTCTTAATTTTAATAAACAACTAACCTAAATTTAATTTTATTGAAAATATGAGATTAAAATATATAAAAATATATGCCCATCAAAATTTAAATGATGGAATAGCTATATAAATATTAAACAAAATAGAGTCAAGGAAAAAGTTGTATTAGTTATAAAGACAATCATAATAATATCTTTAAAATTCCATTTTTTCAGGAAGTAAAAAATTATAAACAAATGTGCATCTGATAACAGCTTCTGTTTATATAAATTAGAATAAACTATCAATAAATGACAAAATGTCTTGCCTAAATTAAATGTTACCCTTTGGAAGATCATATATTTCTTTCTACTTATTGATAACAAAGAAGAAAAATGTAGGAACAAAAGCAAGATTTTTAACAACAGAGTTAACAAGTGTGTAATAACTGGACATGTACTGAAATCACTTTCAACAATTAGAGTGTGCTTTGAAGCTTAGATAAATTGAATGGTTACCAGGTCACATAGTTTGAAAAATACAATCCATTTTTAGAGGAAAAGATGACCTTAATTTAATTACAGATTTATGAGTAATATTTCAGGATATATGTATAATATATATAACATAAATATGAGTGTGTATGTGTATGTATACATGTACATATGTGTGTATGTGTCTGTGTGTCATCAAATATCATAACCCTTTCTTTAGTATTTTTGTGAATTTTTGCAGATACCTATAAAATATTTACCACTCATGGGTATCTATGATAAAGCCCTTAATTTAAAAACAAAGTATGTTTAATGGTTTGGAAATGTAAATTTCCAAATGTTAGGAAATGTAAATTTTTCTTCCACTGACACTGGCTATGAGCTTATCCTCAGTGATAAAAATTAACCACATTTCTACATTGATCTATCATTTAGAAAATGTTTTAAGAAAAGAAGTCACTAAACAGCATAGAAATAATTGAGAACATGAGCATGGGAGAACAAAGAAGGAAAGATACACAGAAAAAAGAAATGTATAAAGGTCCTACTGAAAGTACAACAGAACCTTGGCAATGAAGACTTTTTGAGGTTTTATCATTTAAGGTTTATGGTATGTAATAAATTTTAATTCTGCTGAATTTTAGTAATATTTAATGTAGGGATAGTGTATGAAAGACTATCACTTAGCTCATATGTGATACTTGTTTGCTGCGCATTCAAATCTGATCAAAACATCCCTCTATCCAATCTTTGTGGACTATGCATTTACTTGTGTAAGGAGTTAAAATATCTTTAAGTGATCATTAATTCAGTTTCATAGATTTAGGAACACTTCTTATTACTGGCAGTACAAAAATAAATTTAAAATAGTGAGCTTCTTATATGTGGAACCTGAAGAAAAAGACAAAAATGAACTTATTTACATCACCAGCTGGAAGGAATAAATTGGGAATTTGAGATTTGCAGATACTACCTACCATGTATAAAATAGATAAACAACAAGATTATACTGTATAGCACAGGTAACTATATTCAATATCTTGAAGTAACTTACAATGCAAAAGAATATGAGAAGGAATATATGTATACATATATATGACTGAAACATTATGCTTTACACCAGAAATTGACACATTGTAATCTGAATATACTTTAATAAAAAAAATAGTGAACTTATTTACATGAAAATTTTACATATATTTCATTGATTATAATTAATTTATGTAACTATTTATAGTAGGATATAGTCACATCGTTTTCCCTATAATTATCCTCTGTATATTCTAGAGAAATTAGAAGTAGTAGAGAATTACTGAATCTGGATTTTATTACCAGGCTATTGTCAGAATTTATCTTCCACTAATGAGAACAGACTGAGTCATACATTTTGCCATTTTGAATTGTATATAATCATATTTCCTAAAAGAAAATATATGCATGAATTCCCTTTTATCTACCCAAATACTAATTAAATTTTATTTGTGCTTTCTGGCAGGACTTAGGTCATGCAGAGAAAAACAGAAATTACTTAAACTTGAATTGTTAGTCTTTAGTTTAATATCTCTATATTTCATATTATTATACTACGCAGTAAGTATTAAATTGCTAAAATACTACAGTTGATAAAATAACAAAATATTTCTTCTACATATATTCAATGTTGAACTTAATATGAGTCATTAAGAAGTCTATCGTTATATATGAAAAAGTCATTTCACATTTTGAAACTGTGATATGATATATGATATATGATAATATAGCTGGTTGAAAAGCCCATTTATTTGCTCT